CTTAATTGACCAAACTTTCCATCGTTTTCATGTACTGAAGAAGCAAGTAAATTATTTTCAAACTGGAAACGATACATTAAACGATTTGAGCTACTTTGCAATTCACTTGTAATTACAGACGATAAACAAAAACTTTCGTCACTTCTAACTTTAATTGGAGATAACACTTACGAAATTTATGAAAACATTATACCTCAAGATACGCTAATCACATACCAACAAGCTGTCGAAGCTTTTAACGAACATTTCAAGCCCCAAGTAAACCTGAGCTATGAAATCTTTATTTTTCGCAAGATGGCTCAACGTATAGACAAAACCACTCAGCAGTTTTTCATTCGATTAAACGAACAAGCTATCAAATGCGAGTTTGCTGATATGGATAAAGAAATTAAACAACAAATTGAGCTTTGAACAAATATTTCAAAACTACGAAAATACAGTTTCCAAAATCCTAACAAAACTCTACAGGGCTTGTTAACTACTGCCAAAACATTTTAGCTGAAGGACCATCAAATAGAAGAACTTGAGAAAAAAACGATAAAATAAAAAGAAGTAAATACAGTAAAGAAAACAAAATTTCCACAAACCAGTCAATCGCCACATGAGACAGAAACTAAGTCCCTAAAAAGAACTTGCTACCGATGTGGAATCGAATTTCCACACACGAATATATGTTTAGCTTTGAGGAAAGCTTGCCACTCGTGCGGGAAAATCGGACATTTGGCAACAGTCTGTAAAACCAGAAAAACAAAACGAACAGAATACAAGAATACATCAAGAGAAATACAAAAATTTGAACAAAGTTATACGAAACCATTAAATACAATTTACAAAGATATTAATGAATCTGAAAATCCTCAGTCAAAGTTAAACGAAGGAGAATTGTACTCTATCAATGCTTAACAGAATTGTACTCTATCAATGCTTAAAACATTTGAAAAGACAAACAACTTCCTTAAAAGACCACTTCGAATATAAAAATCTAAAACACAGATTATTACTTACGGAGATAACAATCAAAGCTCAAAATAGAAGGACAGATCTATGCCGTGATAGAAAGTCAAACCAAATTTCATCAGTCCACATTCCACGTGGTTAAAACACACCACAAAAATCTGTTATCTGGAAACGACGCGAAGTTACTCGGTTTAATACAACTAAATACTGACGTCAATCAGAAACTTTTAAACAAAGGCCAAAGAGAACAAAATAACCATGCCGACAGTAAACAACAAGTTTGCCATTCTTTGCAGAACTTAAGCAAATTAAACAATACTCTCCTTTTAAACGCTCCAAAACGATTAGAACCACTTATAAACTCATACAAAAATTCTGTTTTTAGCGGTAAAATAGGAAAACTTTCCAACTACCAAGTAAAATTGAAAATTAATGAAAGTATACTACCAGTCGCAAAAAGAGAAAGAAGAATTCCTTTTGCACTTAGAGAAAAGGTTAAAGTTGAACTTGCAAAACTTGAAGCAGAAGGAATAATTGAAACGGTAACAGACGAAGCGACACCCTGGATAAGTCCAATGGTAATTGTGCCAAAAAATGACGGCAACCTAAGAATTTGCGTAGACATGCGAGCAGCTAACAAAGCTATTGGAAGAACGCGTTTTCCAACTTCAACTCTGGACGATGTTATTATAAAACTAAAAGACTCCGACGTTTTCTCGAAACTAGATTTAATGAAGGCATTTCACCAGCTCGAACTTGCACCGGAATCCAGATCAATAACTACTTTTCAATCCGAAACTCAAATTAAACGTTTTAAAATACTTAATTTTGGAGTAAACTCCGCGCAGGAGGAACTAAAAACGCTTAACGAGAAGTTTTAAAAGATATAGAAGGTACTTTGAACATTGCCGACGATGTTCTAATTTTCGCTTCGAATACAAAAGAGTACGATTTAATATTACATAAGTTATTAGAAAGATTTAAACAGAGAGGTTTAACTCTAAATTTTGAAAAATGCTTATTTGGAAAAGAAAAAGTTAAATTTTATGGATTTATATTTTCAAAAGAAGGAATGCAACCAGAAAAACTTTATAATATCAAGAACATGCCATCACCAGAAAACACTAAAGCTCTCTAAAGTTTTCTTGGGCTTATAAACTATTTTAAACGTTTCATTCTACACTACAGTACAATTATTTATCCATTGAGAAACCTTCTGCATTAAGATTCCTTATGGAACTGGAACCTTGAGTGTCAGCATGCATTTGACAAATTAAAAAACGCTATGATATTGGACTCATGTGTCGGATACATCGAACCCAACAAAGAGACTACTGTCTTCACCGATGCAAGTCTTGTAGGCATATCGGCAGTCATTGTTCAAAACACTCCAAACAAACAAGATTTTAAAGTAATATCTTATAATTCGAAAGCGCTATCGCCTGTACAACAACACTACTCTACGCTCAAAAGAGAATGTTTAACTATAGAATACGCGAACATGAAGCTATTGTAAAAATTTTAAACAACCCAAACGCTACAGTACCACTTCGCATTGAGCGTATGACTTTAGGATTACAGGGATATTCTTTTGAGCTACACTACGTAAAAGGAAAAAATAATATATCTGATCATTCTAGTCGACACCCTGTAGACCCTTGTGAGGACGAAGGGCTAGAAAAATATGTCAATTTTACAGCTGAATACGCATGTCCTAAAGCCCTTTCACTACTGGATATTCAAAGAGAAACTAAAGCCGATCCTATTCTACAAATACTTACAGAGTTAATTACTACTAATACCTGGCATAAACTATTACATCCGAACTGTCCGCCAGAACTAAAAAAATTTCAAAAAGACTTACTTGCTTACCGCAATATACGCCAAGAACTTACAGTAAATCAGACTTCAGACCTTATTCTAAAAGCAAATCGAATTGTACTTCCACATTCTCTGGAAATTACGGTTATACAGCTTGCTCATAATAGTCACATGTGACTTGAGAAAACCAAATCATTACTTGGAGAAAAAGTTTCTTTACTGGTCTAGACACTAAAGTAGAAGAATATATAAAACGATGTGCAATTTTTCAAGCCCTTGGTAAACAAAATGCACCAGCCGAACTATTAATCACACCAACACCAGAGGAAGTTTGGGACACCGTTAATATAGATTACGCTAATGGATTTTATTTGGTAGTCCTTATAGACCAAACATTAAAATTTCTGGTTGTCGATATTATACATAACACATCTGCTGACCTCCTTATTGATTTTCTACAGAAAACGATTGCAGTATATGGAATACCGAAAACGATTGTCAGCGATAATGGACCACCTTTTACTTCATTCAAAATAAAGATGTTTTTGAACAAACTGAATACTCAACATAAACGAATCACCCCGCTTTGGCCGCAAGCAAACTCACAAGCCGAATCCTTTATGAAACCACTGATTAAAACAATACGAGCAGCACACGTTGAACGGAAAAACTGGAAAAAGCAATTATACAGCTTCCTGTTTTCCTACCGTACCACACCCTATTGCACAACCCGAATACCACCATCTACACTCATGTTTAATCGCGTTACAGGTTTTACAATACCTTAATTCCAAACAAGGGTCAATGCAAATATCAATGATCAAGCTGAAAAGAGACAAGAAAATGCTAATTTATACAGAAAAAAATATCACGATTTAAAATACCACGCAAAAAATCCAAGTTTAAATATCGGGGATAAAGTACTGATAAAACAAAAAATATATAACAAAATTTCGGCACCATTCGAGTTCAAAGAATGGTACAATGATCACTGCAAAATCTCCCGTCGACAATTCTCAAAAAACTCGAAATGCTTCACACATGAAGCATTTCGTTTTCATTCGTCTAGTTGAATAAAGATGATCTTTCCGTTTAAAATAAAGCTTGAGAACTTGCACGGTTTTATCCGAGAGATGTGAACAAGGATAACCTTATGGAATAAGTTTGTCGTTTTAAAAATGACCGCAAAAACAATTTTCAAGCAAAGAAATCCAATGCAGCTACTCAATCAAATCTTTAAGAAAAAGATTGAACGCCTTCATGCTCCGGATTTTTATTACTATTCCTGAGTCAGTTGCTGAAGCTGAACAGTCATTTAGTAAACTTAAAATTTTTAATATTTTCTCCGTTCCACGATAGGGCTAGGATTGCGTTACTGATACTTAATTATTTTGATTGAGGAAGAATTGCCTAAAAAGATGAGTTACAACAATGTCATCGATATTTGGGCGGCCAAAAAAACTTTTACCAAGGTGCCACCTTAAAAGTTCATCTTTAAGCGCTTTATTAACTTTTCTTGAAGATTTTGTTAATTGTTTTCTTTGCTTATTAGTTTTAAAACTAATAATGTTTTGATTCATGTCAGTTTTGATTAATGAACCGTTTTTCAATTCAGAGAGTTAATAGTAAAGCACTGTATCAAAAATAAATACTTGTTGCGTTCACAAAACTTTAAATTTTGTAATTTAAATTGGTAAAATCTCAAAGGCTTTGCATACAATAACTTTCGTATGTAGACTCTTTGTACTGGACACAAAAAAGAAGTAGAAACAATAGCTTATAATTTGTTAACATTGTTTTCAATTGAAATTTCAATTGAACTAACATTTGGTAGATTTTTATTTAAATAGAAAATGTTGTATTACTTTCAATCTCATAATTTAACAAATTATCATCCTTATCAATACTAAAGTCACAAAGATACATTTATCGTTATCTTCACATCAATACTAAAGTCACAAAGATACATTTATCGTTATCTTCACATCAATACTAAAGTCACAAAGATACATTTATCGTTATCTTCACATCAATACTTAAGTCAGAATAGCCAAGATTATTTTTAAATTAGTAATTTTGAGCTTAAATTACCAATGATTTACAGAAACAAAGATTCTCCATTTACCGCTATGCGGGATACTGGTATTTCAACGACATACTTTATTATCCGCTTTGCATATGGTTACCGAAAGGTTTAAACAATCCGGACATGAAACGCACTATTTCCATTCAAGAAAAATTATTTTCATATAAAAACACAATCGTTTTTACAAGTTGGTTATCTAAAAATAACACGCAACGCTGAAAAAATGTTTGGTTATTTAAAATTAACACACAACGCTAAGAAAATGCTGGATAATCTAGTTTTTTAACAATACTTAAATTTTCTATACAAGCTTAAAGAAACCTGTGTGATAGCATTGATTTGTTTTTCATTCTTTTGACAGCAAAAACCTTTCAAAAATAAACATTCTGCTGAAAAAAGCATTCTGTTTGCTGTAAACAGTAAATACTGTCAGAATAATACTGTAAACATTCTTCTAACAGTATTTTACTGATAGGAAAACATGTTTAAGCATATAAACTTCAACATTGAATTAGCTGCACTTGTAGAGAACGTTCGTGATTTAAAAGAGATACACAATCAGAAAGCAAAGCAGCAGATCTAAAAATTATAAAGAGAAAAATAAAAGCATCGAAAAAAGAAACGAAAATAAAAACATCGAAAAAAGAAGAGCAATATGAAAATAAAAACATCGATATTGAAATTACTAAAAAGTGCAATTATAAAAATAAAATAATTACTTATGCTGCTCAATGATTTCCGAATCTAAAGTGTTTTTGAGCGTACATATTGTTTTGGTAAGATCTTTAATCTAAAACAAGTATTTCTGAATATTTTAAAATATATTTTATCTAGAATAAACGTTTGTGAAAAAATGTTTTATAGAAAAAAATTACAGCAACAAAAATCAAAAAATAAAATGCACCTGAGGTAGTTCTACTTTAGTCATATGATACAATTCTTCTAAATAAATTTTACTTTCATCAACAGCTCTGACCAATTCATCTGAAAATTGAAAAAATGGGGGAGTTAAAATAAGGAATTCAAAATAGGAGAGTTAAAGCTTGAATGAAAACGCAAAAAATATCCAAACTATTATAATGCATATCCAACTTTTAATTATTTAAAATTTTTTTACTAAATTTTTTAAATTAAAAAATTATTTTCATAAACTTTATAAAATAGAATTTAAAAGGTTAAACTTTTAAATTCTATTTTATAAAGTTAGACCTTTCAAAAGAGCTAAAATCTTCAATGAACTTTGTATTGAAATTATATATATATATATATATATATATATAATATATATATATATATATATATATATACATATATATATATATACATATATATATATATATATATATATATATACATATATATATATATATACATATATATATATATATGCATATATATATACATATATATATATACATTTATATATATATATATATATATATATATATATATATATATATATATATATATATATATATATATATATATATATATATATATATACATTTATATATATATATATATATATATATATATATATATATATATATATATATATATACACATTTATATATATATATATATATATATATATATATATATTATATATATATATATATATATATATATATATATATATATATATATATATATATATATATATATGTATACATTTATATATATATGGTTAGAATTCAATAAATACGGCTCCGTATAAACTTTTTTTAAATATATATATATATATATATATATATATATATATATATATATATATATATATATATATATATATATATATATATATATATATATATATATATATATATATATATATTTTCTTTAATATATAATTATTTCGATTTTTCGCTGATCTATTGTGATCAGCGTCATCAGGTATAATAAACAAAATAGTTACAAAAATCGTTATAGTAAAAACTAACCGTTAAATAGATAACATTAAAAAGCCATAATATAATACAGAAAAAAACTTTTCAAACAACTGACGTCAGCAGATTTTATTAAAAAATGGCCCCCAGGTTTTGGTTGTTACGTTATCACCGTCATCCCGATTGAGAACCATGTCACCATTTCTCAACTCCTGTTGAACCCTAGCCTTGCTTATTTCGAGTGACTCTCTGATTTTCCGAGTTTGATATTCTGGGGCTACAGATAATGTTTTGGGGTGCAACCAATCAAACTTACCATGGCATGTTTTAGAATGCTCAGTTGCACCTGAACTGGACCAGTTCAGATGCAACTGAGCATTTTTTTATGGTCAACAGATTTTCTTTTTAAGCTGTTTTTTTGGTGTTCAATACATCTCGATATCACCTTCTTTTTAGTTTCGCCAATGTATATCGAACCGCATGAACATTTTAGCTGGTATACGCCAGGGTCTGTGTTTAATGGTAGTTTAGTTTTATTGTTGCAGAAAATATTTATATTATGGCTTTTTAATGTTATCTTTTTAATGGTTTGTTTTTACTATAACGATTTTTGTAACTATTTTATTTATTATACCTGATGACGCTGATCACAATAGATCAGCGAAATATCGAAATAATTATATATTAAAGAAAAAATATATATATATATTTAAAAAAAGTTTATACGCAGCCGTATTTATTGAATTCTAACCATATTTTAACGTATAACAAGAAAATGACGTTCAAAGATTATATTACTACATTTTACAGAAGATTTATGATGATACCAAAAAGATTTGAAGATACGAAATGCGAACTCAAAAAATCAACTCGTTTTTCTTCAAAAGTGCTTATCCAATAACATAACTCCAAAATCGTTTAAAATAAAAACTCCAATTCGTACTAAAAAAGCAAAAAACATAATGAAGGAATACAGTAAAAAACTACTGATTCATGCTCTTAACAAAGCCAAACACAGATTATATTCGAGTAAGAAATTAATTAATGAATTAAATATATTTCTTCAGACAAAAGTAAGATTACACGACTATGAATTAATTAACAGTATAACCAACAAATCAAAAAATTACCATTACATTAATAAAAAAACGGAAATGAAAGAAAAATATAATAAATTACAAATTACACCGATTATAAAAAATAATTTTAATCCTCCCAATCAAGTTATTAAACCTGCTATACTCAATTTAACTAATGGTACTCTGGATAAATCAACAACTGAGCTACTCAATTTAGGTCCAAATTTTGTAGCACAGCCGAAAAAAATTCCTTATATGGATATTATAACTAATATCGAAACTTGCGCTTTACAACTTGAAAAACTTAAAAAACCAACACAGGCAGAAACTCTACGACAAAACTGTTCACAAATTTTAACAAATTCGCTAAAATTAAGATTTAAAGATAATTTAACTAAGCAACAACGTCTTTCATAAACAAATTAAAAAACAATTCTAACATTAAGATATACCCTTTCGATAAAGGTACAGGTTTCGCATTATTAAATCAAAAAGATGCATCTCTCAAATTAGAAGAACAAATAAAAAATAGCAAAATTATTAATTATAATCCAACATCCACATTGACTACTAAATTTCAAAGACAATTGTGCAAATTAAGAAAAGAAGGTAAACTAGACACAAATACATACTTTAAAATGTATCCATCAGACTGTAACCCACCAAGGATTTACAGAATGATTAAAGCTCACAAACCAGAAAAAGATTACCCAATGCGCCCTGTTGTATCAACAATTAACACACCACCTTATGGAACATCTGATTATCTTGTTAAAATTATTCAACCGACTCTGAACAAAAATAAAAGTAGACTTATGAATTCTAATAGTTTTGTAAATGAAGCTAAGCAATAGATAATAGATCTTAACGAAGTTCAAGTTTCATTTGATACAGTCAATTTATATCCATCCATACCCATTGACGAAGCAATTCCGGTTATTATTGATATATTGAACGCTGACATTGATGACTTAAAAACTCGGACTAAACTTACTCTTGCAGACAAACATCAATTAATTGAACTTTCATTAAGTATATGCTATTTTTTATATGAAAACAATATCCAAATAATACCTAATTCAGGTCCTATAGGTTTATCTTTAATGGTTGTTATGGCAGAAGCATTTTTACAAAATATAGAAAGAAAAGCCTTTAATAAAGCAATTATTCATACATATGAACCAAAAACTTACAAGAGATATGTAGATGATTGTCATGCTTGCTTTGCTTCAATAAAACAACAACAAATGTTCCTGAACATCCTTAATGAACAACATCCTGCCATAAAATAACCTCAAACAACTCAATTTCCTAGATATTAACATTACAAACACAGGCTCTGGAACTAATGAATTTCAAATACATAGAAAAGAAACTATTACAAATGTTCAACTTAAACCTAACTCGAACATTAATCCTAACATTATTGGCATTTTCAAAGGATTTTTATGTCGTGCTAAAAGAATATGCTCTCAAAAACACCTTCAAAAAGAAATTGATTTTCTAATAGACATCTTTGTTGAAAATGGCCACGACAAGAACATTCTAAATAATATTACTATAGACTATTTAAAAAACAGTTCAAAAAACACCACATTTCAACCAATAGATACCCAACCCTTTATAAAACTACCTTGGATACCAATTGTTGGTCCAAAACTTTGTAATGAATTTCGAAAGCAACACATAAAGGTTATTTTCACATCAACTCCCAATTTAAAAAATATTTTCTTCAACAATAAAACTAAACTACCACTAAACACAGACCCTGGCGTATACCAGCTAAAATGTTCACGCGGTTCGATATACATTGGCGAAACTAAAAAGAAGGTGATATCGAGATGTATTGAACACCAAAAAAACAGCTTAAAAAGAAAATGGTCCAGTTCAGGTGCAACTGAGCATTCTAAAACATGCCATGGTAAGTTTGATTGGTTGCACCCCAAAACATTATCTGTAGCCCCAGAATATCAAACTTGGAAAATCAGAGAGTCACTCGAAATAAGCAAGGCTAGGGTTCAACAGGAGTTGAGAAATGGTGACATGGTTCTCAATTGGGATGACGGTGATAACGTAACAAACAAAACCTGGGGGCCATTTTTTAATAAAATCTGCTGACGTCAGTTGTTTGAAAAGTTTTTTTCTGTATTATATTATGGCTTTTTAATGTTATCTTTTTAACGGTTAGTTTTTACTATAACGATTTTTGTAACTATTTTGTTTATTATACCTGATGACGCTGATCACAATAGATCAGCGAAAAATCGAAATAATTATATATTAAAGAAAAAATATATATATATTTAAAAAAAGTATACGCAGCCGTATTTATTGAATTCTAACCATATTTTAACGTATAACAACAAAATGACATTTAAAGATATATATATATATATATATATATATATATATATATATATATATATATATATATATATATATATATATATATATATATATATATATATATATATATTAGGGTCTCTCTTAAAACAACATTTTTGAAAATAATCTGCTCTCACCCCCTAAATGTCTTCTATCTAATAAAAAAACACTAGGTTTAAATTTTTTTTGAATATAAAATATTTTAAGGGGTCTCCCAAGACTTTCGAATATTTAATGGGTCCCTAATATTTAAAAAAAAAAAAGTTTTTCGAAAATATGTCAACCTGGTACTCAAATGAAGCGAAATTATATAAAAGCTTCAAAAATAATATTCATTTCGAAAACAAATTTTATCACATAAAATGTGTTTTTTAATAAAAAATGAAAAAAATGTATTTTTTATGTTTTTTTATGATAATTTTAATAAGTTCAATTTTTTATATAATTTTGCTTCATTTGAGTATCAGGTTGACATATTTTTGAAAAACTTTTTTTTGAAAATATTAGGGACCCATTAAATATTCGAGGGTCTTGGGGGACCCCTTAAAATATTTTTTATTCAAAAAAAATTTAAACCTTGTGTTTTTGTATTAGATAGAACACATTTAGGGGTGAGAGCAGATTATTTTCAAAAATGTTGTTTTAAGAGACACCCTAAAAAAAATGTATATATATATATATATATATATATATATATATATATATATATATATATATATATATATATATATATATATATATATATATATATATATATATATATTTGTATAGATTTCGATATATAGAATATATTCGAGGTTAAGTATTTTGATGTAATAATACAAATTCTCTTGTACATGTTACAGTGCTCAATATTACTGAATAATAGAGCTATATATAATTATATTTAGATGAATAAAAACAACTGATTAGCGGGACTTAAAGTTTCATGCCCGAAGGCAATCATCAGCCGTTAATACAAACCTATAAAAAAGTGTTGGTCATATTCTTGTTTGTATTAACGGCTGATGATTGCCTTCGGGCATGAAACTTTAAGTCCCGCTAATCAGTTGTTTTTATTCATCTAAATATAATTATATATATATATATATATATATATATATATATATATAATCGTTTTATCCTGATAAATATTTAGATAAATTAAAGATAAATTAATGAAATACCATCTTTTATTTTGCTGATTCCACTGATTGGTAGAATGTGTGAATTTTTTTCCAAAATCTCTGAGAATTTAGAAGCCAATTTATTTAATTTCGATAATTGTGAAGCTAAAGGTTTTAATCCTGAAATCTGAAAGCAAAATACAAACAAGATTACAAATGGAAATCACCAACTTACAATGTAGAAACTTAGGTTAATATTAAAACTAACTTTAAATTCAATAGTAAAACCTGTGAGTTTAGCAGCTGTTCAACAGAGAGCAACAATTTCTGAGTTTCCAAAAAAAGATTAAGTTCTTCAACTTTTTTTTCTAATTTTCGATTGGCAGCCCAAATTGTAAAAATTTGCTCCTAAAAAGTAAATTAAGGTTTTAAAATTATGCATGAACTTTATGAATATATAAAACAATGGACGCACATTTGATAAAAAATGTAGTTGATTTTACCTTGACTTTCTCCTCCTGCTTTTCAAAAGCTCTTTGAGCCTAAAGCAAATATACATTTTATAGATATACACACATATACACATACACACATACAAACACATAAATACATAAAAATATAAAACAATATACAAAATATATAAAAATATATAATGTTACAATGTACTCTTTTTTTTATTTCATTGTTGCAATGTACTCTTTTTTTTGTTTAATTGTTACAATGTATTCTTTTTTTGTTTCATTGTTACAATATACTCTTTTTTTTTATTTCATTGTTACAAGGTACTTTTTTTTTGTTCAACATAACTTGTCACATTTCGTCTTACAGTGTGAATATTTTTCATGTGGGCTGTTTAAATTTGTGCGTGAGTACACATGCACGTTCAGAAGGAATACTGAGTATGATCTCTCAAATATGTCAAGTCTTTGACAATAAACTTGTGCTTATTGTTAAGATCACCAGCTGAAAATAATCCTTTTTGCGTTAATTTTTGATGGTTTTCAAACCCATTTTTACTAAAAACGGATGATAATGGAACACACAAGAAACTCAATAAAAATCATCATCAGAGTATTCTTCAATTTTTATTAATGCATTACAAAGCATAACTCAATCCTAGACCTTGTTGACAAAAAAAACAAAACCTTTCTCAACAATTGAGAAAAATTAAAGATATTCCTTCAAATCAAAAAAGAACACTAAGAAGCTTATCGAATGCAGTGAATGTACCAACAAAGATTTTGGATGGAATTTCAAAGAAAGGGGATGTGTTTAAGTGTGTTTCATCTTTTGTTAAACCAAGTTTAACTGACGAAAACAAAATCGGAAGACATTGCCAAGACTCATTTAACAAATAAAGATTCTGCTTTACAAAAAAACTTGTAAAAGAAGATTGGAATCTGCAATTGAAAATTCAACCTCTGAATAGTGTAGACTTGAATGTTTTTGATCTTGGGTTTTTTAATTGAATACAAGCATTGCAACATCACATAGACACTAAAAATATTGATGATTTAATTAGTGCAGTAGAAACAGCTTTCCAATAAGTGGATCAAGACAGACTTGACAGTGTATTCTTAACACTATAAACATGTATGGAAAATATCATAAAGTCAAACAAAAACAACGTTTGTAAGATTACTCATATAAATAAATAAAAACTTCGAAGAGAAAATCGACTCCCCATAAGTTTAAAATGTAATGATGAAGCCATGGAGAATCCAAAAAAATTTTTAAATATTGAATAACTGAAACAAAAGTTATAAAATTAATAAAGAACTTATTTTTGACTTATTTTTGTTTTTTAGTACTTTATTATTCTGCTATAAAACTGTAATATTTTTTAAGCTTGTGATTTGGTCACCTATTTTTAAATCTCCATACTTTTTAGAAAGCCTTGAGTATGCCCCTTTTAACAAGCTATTACTTTTGAAAATCAATCCAACACAACAAGCTATAGGTATAAAAGTTCGATCTTTGCAAATGTGACAAGTATTATTGAACAAAATTTATGCATCAAATGTGACAACTGTTGTAGAATGGATTATTTTAACTTAACACATTACACCCATCAACACCCAAGAAAGATATCACCTAAACACCTAATTTAGAGGGTTGAGCAATTTTCTTAAATTAATAAATAATAAACAACAACAACAACCAGATATTTATTTTCTTCAAAATTTTCAATCATATAATTACAATATAATAATATTAACAATAATAATAATATTTATAATAGTAATGATAACAACAATAAGGACTTATTTTTTATTATTCATTAATAGAGCAAAAGTAACAGCAAAAATAATAATATTTATAATAACTATAATAATAATAGTAATAATAAAAATAGCAGTAATAAAAATAATAAATAATAATGACGAAAATAGTAAAGTTTCTATAAAAATAGTAAGAAGAAAAAAAATAAACAAGAAAACTGAAAAAAGTTAATAATGATAAAAAACTAAATTAAAATTTTTTTAGAATTTGTTTAAATTTATTTTGCTTCAAATAAAAACACATTTTTACCAGTACCTAAACAGCATTATATTGTAATTCGATAATTACAATTAATGCAAGTTGATCATGATTTATTATGAGGCACCCATGTTCAAACTTTTAGTAATTGAATTTAGCTTCAGCAAAATTTAGACTTTGTTCAATTTTATATACCACTTAATATAAAAATTAAGAATGGAGATATTGCTTCTTTTTTAAAAGAAATATTTTTTTTGACATTTTATTTGACATAACTTATACAACTTCACTAGAGGTCTCTATCAGTCTTTACTCCCTACTTGAAAAACGAAAACAACTGAGAAAACAATTGTGGTAAAAAACAAAGCAGATAAAGAGTTAGCATCTAGTACACCCTTATAGTTGAAAAGAAAATTTAAATTGTTTAATAATTTAAAAAAAAAGTACTGAGTCTGTTTCAACGCCATCAATCACCATCAATTGTCAAAACAAATATTTGGACACAAATACATTAGTCAAATTTTTATATACTTCATAGTTCAGAAAATTAACAAGAAATATAAACAAAGATTGTTATCATAAAGAAAAATTGCACTCTCAATACTTAATGATGAACATAGCTTTCTGTCTGCTTCCTATTTTACTTATGTATTTTAGGTTGGAAAAAATCAATAAAATCATTCAAAATGCATTTTTAAACTTGGCTTAAGAACAGTTTAAGTTAACCTTTATATAGCCATTAAATAATTATAAACTATTATTATTGTTTTTTTTTTTTTGTTTTTTTATTTAATCCCAACAAGGCTGCAAGCAACCGCCAGTAGTGAACTATAATCCAAAGATGTAAAGAAAAGGACTCAGTGAGAGGGTAGTTATTTATCAGTATAGGAAGGTCGACAGTATTGCGATAGTTGTTTGCAGTAAATAACTGAATTTAAACTCTAACAAAACTCAAGTGGCTTCTGTAACATCTGTTACAGAATTGAGATTAGATTGAAGATTGGTTGCCTGCTCTAAGCGGTCAGAAAGAGAAAATGTTTTGTCAAGACAGGAGTATAAAGTTGAGTTGACAGCAAATAAAGCCACTTTAGATTTTTAAAGTAGTCAGGAAGATCATTAACATATATAAGAAACAAAAAAGGTAAAAAAACCTTGAGGTACCCCAAAAGAGACTGGAAACCAAGAAGAGTACTGGCCTTCGAGGATGACTTTAATAAAGTATTTAGAAAAAAATGATTTGATAATCTTAAAAAATATCCCAGATACACCATATGAAGCAAGCTTAATGAGAAGACCAAAACTTTATTGAAAGTTTTATGTCAAGGGCAATCAAGTCCTTTTTCTCGCTGCCTTTATCTAATGAACGATAGAATCTTTTAGTCAAAGCAGTTAGCAAGTCGAAGATAGTTTGAAGTCAGCTGTAGAAGATTATTGCTATATTGATTGTTAGAGATTTGACACAAGATAGAAATTTGTTCAAATCAAAGACTCAAAGACCTTGTCAATAATAAAGGAAAGATCAGACAATATTAGGAGGGGTCACAATGTTCTCCAGAATTATTAAAAATTGGAACTACAGATGCCATTTTCCAGCAAACAGGAAAACAAGATTTAATTTTGTTTCCGTTTTTGTTTGACTGGACCACAAACCGTAGAGGAGTTTGAGATATGACTTTAGCAATGGATAGCAGAGTGATTTGATTGTCTAACAATGGGTTAATCTATTTAACTAGAATGGCAAGAAGAGTATGGACAAAATATTCAAAGTTTTAAATTAGAAGAAAAGTTCTTTGCAAAAAGTTCTGCCTTATTATTGTGAGAGGTAAAAAGATCACTCATGAATTAGAGATGGAATGTTAAACTTACCTTAATTAAAGATACTGTCAAAGAATGTCCTCCTACCCCCACTCTTTCCTTGTTCCTTAGAGAGATTAAAATAAACTTAATAACACTTTTATTAGGTTTTAGATATTAGGTTTTATTTAAAAAGCTGATAGCTATACATTGTCAGCTTTGGTTCATTTAAATTAAAATCTAATAAAAAGAAAGTTTAAAATAATTATTTACTTGAAGATGCAGATAAGTAATTTGTAACAACCTTGCATTGTAAATGTCAATTGTTAGCTGGTCCAATTCAATTACAGGCTAAAAAATATTTGCACTTTATAAAAAAGTTAATAGAACAAAACTAAATAAATTACTAGTAAAATAATTTATAACCAACACATAGTGTTATTCATAAATGAGATGAAAAAAAAAATTATGCAAAGTTAAATCAAAACTTATTTTCTTTTTGATGTGAGAGGTTAAAAATAAAATAATTTTTTTATTGCAAAATAAATTTAAAATTTTTTTACGTAGTAAAGAATGAAATTTTTTTTTTAAATAACATGTGTCACTCAAAATAAAAAGTTTTTATCAAAATAATGTACTTTTTATCCTTAGTTTAAATCAAATATAGGAATTAAACTATTTTATTGTGAAACCGTCAAAAAGTCTGCCACTACATAAAATTGAAACTGAATTCCAAAATAAATTTTCTATGCTAATATTATATAGATATATATTTTTTTGTTTAAAAAAACAACTATTAAATGTATATTTTATAGATTGTATGAAAATGTGAATCACTGCAAACCAGAGAGACTCCAAGTTTTTATGTTGATGCACTCAAATAAAACGTTTTAAACAAAAAATGTCCTGTAGGTTTAGAAAATCAACACTAATTTCTTAAGATCAAAAATAGGACAAATAGGAAAGTCTGAAGGTCTTATATAAAAAAAAAATATATATTTTTTTATAGTAAATTTGTTGCATAAAAAATCTGTTTGATTATTATAGAAGTTTTATTAAGTTTATTGCATCATGCAACGCCATGTCTTTATAAGCATTCGTGTATGCTCTATGAAAAATAATTCTTTCAATAATCAAAATTTCTTAGGGCTTGCTTTATGTCTAAAAGAGTTTGTCAATAAAGATGGTTGTGCAAAAAAAAATATTTTTAAACTTTAAGTTTAGTTTTTTTTTCAATTTCAAATGATGACTGAAATAAAGTTCTAGATGTTTGAAATTTTCAGCAATTAACACCAGTCCTTTGTTTGTCACCCATGCTTACATAATGCAAAGAGTTAAATATGGGGGGAGGGATAACATTATGGTTAGGGGTTGCTTTGGAGGCAGTAAAGTCAGAAAACTTGTAGAAATCAACAACAAAAAAAAGACAAATAAGGTCTATTTTCATATTTTGGATGAGCATGTGTTGGATTGTGGAACAGATCTTATTAGTGAAGGATTTGTTTTCTAACAAGACAACAAACATATAGCTAAAATTGTGAAGGAATATTTACAGAAAAAATGAGAACAGAGTGCTACAGTTGATGGCCACCTCCTGATTTCAAGTCCTGATTTCAATCCAATCAAGTTTTGGGATTTTTGGGACAAACTTTGGGATCACCTAGACAGAGTGGTGCAAAAAAACCCTCCAAAAAGGAAAAAAGACCCATGGAAATCAATTCAAAAATAATTGGAATGCTGAAGGTGGTTAATATCTACAACCGCTGTGAAACAGATTGCCTCATATTTACCAGGGCAAATTTTGAGAACTTAATCTTGAGTAGTAATTTACTTATAAAAAAAATTGAGTAAATTATAAAGTAAATAAAAATATTGATTTTTGTAACTGTTGCCTTTATAAATTCCCAGAAAAGTTCAAGTTTATTACCAGTGGACCTATCCACAAAAATATTTGCTTTCCCACTAAAAATATATGAAATGAAAAGCAAACTCTAAATTGAAGTCAAACAAGCAAAGAGGATAATCACTTTAAAAAGTTAACCTCTGCTACCCAATGAAATCCTTATAAAGACTGAAGTTGGGTCTAAACAAAGTAGCACAAAATCTGATGTATTTTAAACAGATACAACACATCTCCTAATTATATATTTTTTAATTATATAGCATTTACCATTAACAAAATCATTCTTCAAGACATTGTAGTGGGAAGATAATCTTCTAATTAAGAAAAACAGCCTTAAAAATATCTCATCGAAAAAATATTTCTTAAACCTTTCCATAGAGTAGCATTCATTTATCTTTTATTTTCTAAACCTTTTTATAAAGTAGCAACCATCTTTTTTTTTTTCTTATTTGATAGCTTAAGTTAAAAACTTTTAAATTCCAAGTTCTTAAATTCTAATTCAAAGCTTCTGAATAGAAGCTCTTTATTATTTTTCTGGTTTCACTTTGTGACTTAAGAAGGAATTTTGTGACTTAAGAATTTTTACTGTAGATAAAGAAAAGAATAAAACTTTACTTTTCAAGATTCCCAAGGCAACCTATATATAATTTGTGTTATAATATAATTTGTATAAAAAAATGATGCTGGTGGATTTACAGTTATGAGGATAAGCAGGTACATGAAATACAGAAAAAAGATAAAATTGATTCAGGATCAGATTTCATCTGTAAGAGCGAGACTGGTTATGCAGTTAGTTATCAAAAAAATTTTCAACTCAACCTACTTAAAGTTAATTCATAAATAAACGAAAGAAATTAAGAATGATAAAAATTAGAAAATTATAAACATATCTTAGCTACTTTTGCTCTCCATTCAACACCATGTAATCTTCTTTTCCAGTAACAACACATAGAATTCATGTGAAAGTATACTAATCTTAGAAAAAATAATTTTCTGTAATCAATTGCTTTTTGGGAATATATTCTAGTTATCAACCAAAATCATATCTAACAATTACATTAGAATTACTACAACAAATGACTTTAAACTAAATCTGTTGTAAGAATTTACATAAATATAATTATAAGAAAGTTTTTTTGAAAAAAAAATTCTAATTCACTCCCTACAAGGCTGCAAGCTGCAAGCAACCATTATTAAGTTGGGAACTAGAAAATAATGGATTTAAAGAGCAAGGAAACGACAGAAGTTGAAGTTTGTAAAAGTTGAAGGTTGTATGAGTCAGAAAAACATGATGATGGGAGAGAGTTCTAAAGGATTGAATTGCAGGCAAAAAAACAAGACACTAATAAAAAATTTTAGTTTATGCAGGGACAGATACAGTAAAAGGATGTGACTTTGCTAAATGACAGGAAATAACATTTCCTAAAGTATAAACTACTGTCAAAATGCAAAAAAAAAAAAAAAAACAAGCTAAAAAAAAGTCAAAACCTGGCAAAAGGACTATCAGTTAGTAAAACAAAAACAAAAAAAATTAAAAAAAACATTTCAGTTAAAGGATTTTTTATTGGCCCTTAAAAGCTTCTTAAACACATTGATTTTCAAAATGAATTGAAAAAGTAATATATAAACAATATTTTTTTACATTATATTACCATCAAATAGCATCTGATTAAATTGTAAGACATGGTCTTTGGTTTTCTTCACAATAATTTTTTCAAAATATCCTAATAAAGAGTAGTTCTAGGGAAATATGTATCAGAATGGGAAACTGTAAAAAGCAGAGTACAGCAAGGATCAGTTCTTGGTCCTTTACCTTTTGTAATTTTCATCAATGACTTAACACAGGGTTTAAATAACAAAGCTAAATTATATGCAAAAATAAATAAAAATGATAAAAATTCACATGATAATTCCCTGCAAGACGACTTGGATTATTTCTTCAAATGGTCGACTAAATGGCTATAAGCTTTAATAGTGATAAATGACAGGAAATAACATTTCCTAAAGTATAAACTACTGTCAAAATGCAAAAAAAAAAAAACAAGCTAAAAAAAAGTCAAAACCTGGCAAAAGGACTATCAGTTAGTAAAACAAAAAAAAAAAACAAAAAAAAAATAAAAAAAAACATTTCAGTTAAAGGATTTTTTATCGGCCCTTAAAAGCTTCTTAAACACATTGATTTTCAAAATGAATTGAAAAAGTAATATATAAACAATATTTTTTTACATTATATTACCATCAATTAGCATCTGATTAAATTGTAAGACATGGTCTTTGGTTTTCTTCACAATAATTTTTTCAAAATATCCTAATAAAGAGTAGTTCTAGGGAAATATGTATCAGAATGGGAAACTGTAAAAAGCGGAGTACAGCAAGGATCAGTTCTTGGTCCTTTACCTTTTGTAATTTTCATCAATGACTTAACACAGGGTTTAAATAACAAAGCTAAATTAAATGCAAAAATAAATAAAAATGATAAAAATTCACATGATAATTCCCTGCAAGACGACTTGGATTATCTCTTCAAATGGTCGACTAAATGGCTATAAGCTTTAATAGTGATAAATGCAAGATAATGCACAGGTCATGATAACCCAAAAATTAAATACACACTAAATGTAATTCTGAAGAATTAAGAACCTCTAGAAAAAATCTTAAAGAGACATCATTAGAACGAGACTGTATATATTTCAAATGATTTAAAATGGGAACATCATGTTAAGTCTATTATTAACAAAGTTAATAGTAAGTTGAGGTTAATAAAACACAAGTTCAACTATATCGACAAAAATACTATAAAACTATTAAACATATCACTCGCGCAACCTCACTTAGAGTATGCATTTCAAATATGGAACCCATACTACGGTGAAGATATTAATCTTATAGAAAGAGTATAAAAACAAGCAACTAAAATTTGTTTCCCAAAAGGTATTAACTATGAAAAAACGGTTACAAATTATGGAACTTTAAAAATTGGTTGCGAGGTGATCTAATTCAGATGTTTAGATTTCAAAACAATATAGATAAAATAAACTGGCATAACAAACCTGAAAGTATAACTAATACTACGAGAGGGCATGATCAGAAATTAAGAAGACAATATGTAAGAAACTCACTTTCTAGGCATATTTTCTTCACCAACCGTGTTGTAGAAGCTTGGAATATCCTAGATCAAGATGTTATCAATGCAACTTCTGTAAATGATTTTAAAAACAAACTAAAACGCTTTAATAAAAAATGGCTGTTATAGTCTAACATCTACTGTCGTTAGACTCATTTTTCTTGGTAAAACAAGAAAACAGCATTTGATTTATATTAATTATATTAATATATACTTTTATTCAAATACTATTCAATATTTTTACATGCAAAATTAAAATTCTTAATTACTAACAGCAGTTAAGGATTTAAATGGTCAAAATGTTCATTATAAACCATAAGCTAT